CTTTAGACTCCTTTTTAAGGCCTTTAGGGCCTTCTGAGAAGGTTAGAATCAGATTGGCCTTGGCTGGAACACACAGCAGATAAATTATAATCAGTTGTACTGGCTCCTCTTCTCCCCCAAAAGTACATTCTTCCTCTGAGCGTGAATATATTTACAACATGGAGCCTAAAGCTGATAGCAAGCTGAGCTAGTCTCAACACCTTTATCTTGGGAACAAGGAGGCCTGAGCAGAGATGACCTGGCTGGATGAGAGTACACCGTGTTCAAAATATTGAAAAATGATTCACCATTGCAACCCTATCTAACATTAATTCACACATAAACATATTTACAGCATTCAAGATTTTTGAGAAAACCCATGATAAAAAAAAAAAATTGGCAGAGAAGTGGAGTACAGATTTATTTTAGAGAGAGGAAGAAAGAGAAGGTAGATCCCTTAAAATTTATTCTACATTCAAAAGCCAAAAATTGAGTGGTTAGCAGTCACTAAGAATTATGAAAGCACTAGTGGGTAGCTGTGTAATTTTAAGTACAGGTAGTCCTCAACTTATAACCATTCATTTAGTGACTGTTCAAAGTTACAATGGCAGTGAAAAAAGTAAGGTTTCGGAAGCTTAGCAACTGGTTCATATCTATGACAGTTGCATTCTCCCAGGGTCATAAAACTGATCCCCTTTCACGACCTTCTGACAAGCAAGGTCAGACGGTCTTCCAGACTTAAAGACTGGAAGTCTTTAAGATGATGTTGGATAACCATTTGTCTGAAATGGTATAAGGTTTCCTGCCTAGGCAGGGGTTTGGACTAGAAGACCTCCAAGGTCCCTTCCAACTCTGCTATTGTATTGTAAAATCAACGGGAAGCCAGATTCACTTAACAACTGTTTTACCAACTTAATACCCGTAGTGATTCACTTAAGAAGGGAGACAAAAAAGGTCGTAAAATGGAGTAAAACTCACTTATGTTTTGCTTAGAAACAGAAATTTTGGGCTCAGTTGGGGTCGTAAGCCGAGGACTACCTATACATATATAATACATTGTATTTTATTTTCTGTATTTTTGCATAGCTAGATGTATATTTTCATTTCTACTTTAGGGTCCTAAAATATTTTCAAAACCATTTTCAATGCAAAACTGTAGACTCATGACATATAGTAATAAAAGAAATCCTACTTCCGGGTGAGTAGCAAATTGCTCCTGCTTTTTCTGTAAAACAGTCAGATGCTTTCCAAAATCCATCCGTGTCCAAATACACACAGTCACCAACCAAACCTTTGTCTTCTCCAAACCAACGGCTGAAACTAATGTGTTTTTTATCTGACCAGTGATAATGTGTTCCATCCTAGAAATATCAGAAAGCAGAAAGATTAGCTGCATAAAACAATTAACCTGATCCAGAAGCTATGACAAGAAATTATGAACTTAAAATTCAAGCAAGAGGTTTTCAGAATGGACACCAGGAAAAATATAACAAAAATATGGAGGTCAACTTTGCCAAATTGGCTGCTTAGTAAAACAAGTATTCAGGGGTTGTTGGATGCTGCAAACTTAGTAAGAGATTGATTGCTTTTGGAAGTTTTAAAATTTAAGCTGGAATACGATACTTCCTGCATTGTTCAACACACTTTCTCACATAAACTTTTACTGGATAATATGAAAACTGGTTATTTTTTTCCTCTTCCCTATGATCTCTGCCCTTAAAAAAAGGAGAAATACATCCAGTACTAAATTAAAACTCTCAAAGTGGTGCAGCATAAACTTTTCCATTTTTAATATAAATGTCTAAGAAGTTGAACATCCCTTTTATTTGCTATGCATTCTGCCCCAAAAAAGGAAGCATATGCAGGACTCTGGCGTTTCTCCATTTTATTCTTTGAGCAGATTTTGAACAGAATCTCAAAACAATTCAAATCAAATAGTGTTGCTTTTTTAAATTTGATTTAAATCCTCTACCACTATCCAATTTTGGAACAAAACCAGATTTTAGCTAATTTACATCTCCTTACTATATACACCACATTGTAATTATTGGTATTTATTTCCATTTAGGCAATGGCTGATATCAAACCAACTCACAGTAAAATATGCACTAAAAATGCAATACGAGACAAAACAAGTTTGGAATCCTGTCGTTTAATACAAAAAGTAGAGTGAAAAGCACATCTGATGACAAGGGTTCCACCAATCTTAACTCAAACCTGGAAGAAGTCTGCAAGAGCTTACAGATTATCAACAGGGTGGAACCCCAAATATTTTTGTGGGATCTCATTCCAGAGGGCAGGTATCACAACAGAGAAGGTGTACTTCCTGGGTCTCTATAGATGGCACTATTTAATCAAAGGAACCCGGAGTGGGCCAATACTGTTTTGGCATCCTGAAGCCAACATAAGAATATGATATTGCCAGGCATCCTTGCAACCATCACAATGCATGAAACAAAAGTATTAAATGGACATAACAAGACATGCCCATCACCGTCCATGCTGTTGCATTCTGGAAAAAGTGAAGCTTCTGAATAGTTTTTAATGGCAGCCCTCTACATAGTGCATTGCAGTAATCAAACCATGAGGTAATTGTCTAAAGGGATTCCTGATCCAGAATAATGAGCACAAGCGGAGTAGCAGTTTGAGCACCGGGGATCTGCTACTTCATTCAAGAGTATAAATAGGAAAGAGGCTTGAGTTTGAGTTTATTGGTCTTGTATGCCGCCCACTCCCNCCAGAGCCGACTCATAGGGTCCCTTGCTATCGGAGTCTGTCGGCAGCTCCAACGGCTCCTGCTGGGCCACAACACTAGCCATTAGCCATTAGGACTTCCAGAAGTTAGCCTAACAATTTCCTGAAGCCAGCTGAGCTGGTAGCCACTATTACATCTTAAATCGGCCATGGAAGCAAAAGTGCCTCTCAACCACATCATGTAACCAAGGAAAGAGCATCGGACAGCTGCTCTTCTCTACCTGCTCTGTGCTACCGGTAGCTCTCAATCTATGATCCCAGTTGGGATCAGAATCTCCATCATGACAATGTAAGAGTCATAGGACTGGAAAGGGACCTTAGAGGTGTTCTAGTCCAACCCGTTGCTCAAGGCAGGAGACCTTACACCATCCCGGCCAAATGGTTTTCCAGTGCTGAAATCATGTGACCATAAATATATGATAAACGATAAATAAAGAATGATAAATCGAGAAGAGCAACTAAGATGATTAAAGGCCTGGAGACTAAAACATAGGAAGATTGGCCAGTCTAAAGAAAAGAAGGATGTGGGGGTGACATGATAGCAGTATTCCAGGATTTGAGGCATTGCCACAAAGAAGGGGTCAACTTATTTTCCAAAGCATCAGAAAGAAACAATGGATGGAAATTAATCAAGGAGAGAAGCAACCTGGAATTAAGGAGAAACTTCCTAACAATGAGGACAATTAATCAGTGGAACAACTTGACTCCAGATTTTGTGAATGCTCCCAACACGGGAAATTTTTAAGAAGAGATTGGACAGTCACTTGTCTGAAATGGTATAAGGTGGTCTGCTTGACCAGGGGGCTGGACGAGAAGACCTCCAAAGTCCTGTCTTATTCTATTCTATTCTATTTCTTAAATCACAGGGTCACAACACCCTGCAACCAGTTGTAAATATGAGCAGGTTGCCAAGTGCCTTAATTGCACAAGTCACAGCAGGGCTGGTGTGACAATCTAAAGGGTAAGAACAGGTTACATAAGTCACTTTTTCTCTGATTGTCGTATCTTTAATCAATAAATGAACAATTGTAACTTGAGGACTATCTGTATTCATTGGCAGGTTCTCCAATATCACATTTTGATAAACAAAAAACTTCATAATCTGGGGAGATTCATCAATGTCTTTAGGATCAGTTCAGGATGGAGTGGGGTGATGTGGGAATTTATTTCTGCACATTTGAAACGTATCCTCTTTGGAATCATTCTTTCTGCATTTGTTTCTTTTTTATTGAAACAACTAACAAACATTAAAACACGCACGCACAGAGGCACTGAATTGACTAATTGATAGGAAATAAACCAAAAATAAAAGCTGATAGTTAACAGATAAATGGATACCCTTTTAAGATATACAAACATATATTTGTGAATATCTAAAGGATAAAATAAAATATAAATACAAACATTTTAAGCACTCATACTTGATATTTTTAGCCAGAGATATTTCCATATGCAAAGATTTTCTACTTATTAGGAAAAATGTTGTTAATATAGCTAAAAACTCTGAATAAACAGATATACAGATCTTCAAAAACTTTCTACTGTTGCATTCATTCAGCTGTGATGAATTCATGAATTCATTCAGTTGCATTTCCCACCCTTCTAAACATTGCCAATTCAATCTACCATCCTTTAAAACCTAAACCATTTAATTTCCAAACTTTTGTGATAAAATAATTAACAATAACAGAGACTTTGCACCAATGTTTAAATTAGGAAAAATAAAATATGAACCAAACAGCTGGATTAATTACAGAAAACTATTGAATTCCCCCCCCCCCCGATTTAACATTTCCTAGAGTGTCTAGAATAGATTCTAGAAAATTTATCTTAACAAACAATAATTTTCTGAATCAATTAAATTTAAACTCTTGAATTAAAAAGGAATTCTGTGCCAGGAAATGTCCTAAGCAAATGATGAAGCTTAAATCCTGAATCGCCTTCTCAAACTTTCTTTTTAAGCTTTTAAGATACCCTTCCTGATAGATGCAGAAATGTATACAATACTGAAATTCTTTTAATTTCAAATTACTTTAAGTAAACCATCTACAGTTCATCAAATCGTGTATGGAATCTCTGATGATTGTTCTCTAGGTTTGGTTATTTCCAGACACTTCCATATGTCCACAATGAAGTTTCTCATATTTTCTTAATTATACGTGTCAGTTGACACCTCATGGTTGTCCCAAAGGTGCTTTTTCAAAAGGCAACTGGACTTTGTTTTTCCTTGAAGATGGCCAGATTCTCACAATCCTTTGCCAATTGTCTACAGAGATTCTCAATCATCCAGGTCAGTGGTGGATTTCAAAAAGAGGTTCTAAACCTCTTCTGTAGGTGTGGCCTGCTTTGTGGGAGTTGTTTGCCGGCCATGTGACTGGGTGGGAGTGGCTTGGTAGTCATGTGACTGG